GGCATTGTGTTACCCGTACTATGAGTCTGTGAACACAGCTCTACTGGGAAACATGTGGATAACAACATTCAACAAGCTAAGACGCAGGGGATGTAGGGGCGACGTGCCGATGCACTGAGAGCAAAAACGCGACCGACCAGCGGTCTCAGTGTTAGCGTTGCGACCAGGTACTAGGTATGATGATTCATGTTGTTGCACCGTTATCTTCACCGTCACACTCACAGTTCTCCGCTCAACTCCGATCCGATGTGCATACGGACTGCAAGGCGAGCATATGAAGAAAACCTGATTATGAGTCGGTGGCTGAATCATCATTTTTTTGATTTGTTTTCCCCATTCATTGTTTCTACTTCATTGTACAGTGAAATGTGTTGTGGTGTTGAAGAATGCACGGCAAGAAATAGAGATGACAATTGCAGGCCAGCCATCATCATTATCAAGATCACAATCATAACCCGTCGCAGTGATCTCTGCCATTGTGCGACACCATACGAGTGGTGTACATGTACATGTACATGGTACAGTGTATTATGTATGGACTGCATTCTAGTATCGAACAATGGAGGCCTATTGGTGGCCAAGCTGAATGCGCCTACCTAACACCGGTTATGCAGAGGGGCTGTCATTGCTTTCTTTGCATCTCAGCGTGTACTGTAAACAACTACTAAAAATTAATGATACTGTTATTATTTTCATGTAACCAGCAGTGATCACGCATGGGGACTGAGGAGGGGTTGAGGTCGCTTTGGCTGCTCCTGCCCGGCCTCCACTGCTTTCGCTGCAACGCTATAGTATCATACATGTCAGTACAGTGTACTACAGTGTCTACTACTACTACTACTACTACTAGTATGTGCCTCCCTGCAGGGTCTTGCTGGTGTTTGCACCATGGTTCGTGGTCATCTTAAAAAAATAGAATGATTCCATGCTCCTCCCCCCCCCCCCCCCCCCCCTGCTTGCTCTTCAGTCCAGAGTCTGCAGGTGGTGTGCCGGCTTGGTTACAGGGATATTTCGTAGAAATCAGTACTACAAACCAGCCACCAACCAATGCCGATGCATGCACTGATGCAGGCGAATACTCGTGTCGCTCTACTGCTAGTCTACTGCTGCAGTGCAAACACTTACACGTGGTCTCTCTGCTGCATGTCTCACTTCAGATTCACCACAGAATATTCGGGCAGTGGCCATTACTACCATAATATTACTATTAGAGTGAAACAAAACAGTATATCGAACGTTGATGCAAAAACACAGTTATACTATAGTAATACTACACAATCTGCAGACAGAACTGTTTCGTCCTTTGTGGACTCTTCAGCGCAGCACAGAGGAGATGAGGCCGAACCTGATAGCAATGAAAATAAATTTTCCAAAGCCAGATTTCAAACCAGGCCCGAACGTACCTTGCCAGAGTTCCCAAACTGACAAGTCAGTGAGCTCTGCATAACGCAAACAGCAAAGGCACTACCCCACGCAAAAGTGCTCAACTGCTACAAGAGCAGGAGCGGACGCGGACTCATCTGTGGACAGAACTGTTTCGTCCTTAGTAATACTAGTACAGTCCTCCCTCTCTAATCCGGCACTTTATAAACCAGCACCCTCGATAAACCAGCACAATTTTCAGTAGCCAAATGTCCTCTTCATGCACATTGCAGCAGTAGATCAGATTTGTTAATCCAGCACCCTCCCTAATCCAGCAGATTTCCGTGGCACAAATGGTGCCGGATTATAGAGGGACCACTGTACTAATAGTACATGTATTGTCGATGGACACTACGATGACCCGACTTGTAAATTTGAGATCCATTTTTTCTGCTCGTCTTGACCCTGCCTCCCCTCATTCACAGTCATTGCTACTTCCGTTTTCGTATTTTTATTTTCTCTTCATTTCTGACTCTTCTTACTGGTTGTCATCGCTTTCATAATATTGGGCAGAACTGCCCGTTTGCCATGCGATGTAAAATAAATAAACAACAACAACAACAACAACACATTAGCGGTGTGTAGGCGTGAATAGCTGAGCTGCGGAGAGCCGATTCGTTTGGACATGTTCAGACGCACCATTCCAGACAATCCAGTACATCACGGCCACGTACATGATTGTACATGAACATGCCATGACATCATCGCCATAGCCATAGCCATAATATAATTACCGGTATGCATAACCTGTACTAGGCTTTGCTGATGTTGAGGACCACTGAATGGGCTCGGTACGGTGGCTCTATTAAATAATTCAAAATCTAATTTCTAAGACTTATTCATGATCGATTACTGCCGCGCCACTAGACCACGCGTCAGTAGTTTCGCTAGACCTCACCTAGCACCTACTGACAAGTACTACTTTACGTTGGAGGAGATAAGTGCAAAGTGTCCCGCTGAGTTAGCAATTAACCGATTCATCTCCGCTATAATCCAATCAACGAGCGTCAAGTAGTTGGTATGAATGAGCCGCATGCCGATGACTGTTATTGTTGGATATTGTTCAGATGGTGTGCACCTTCGAGACAAACCACCTTTGATGCGATCTGCCTTGCGTTTGAGAAGGTGGTGCTTTCATTGCTTCAACTAATTAGTTACTTCAAGGCAGGACAGAGTGTAGAATACACGTACATAACTACTGACTACTGTACTATCCAATGAACACTAATGTAGTAATGATCTTATTACCGGTGCATGTACATGTACATGTATGTGCGGCGGATAATGCGGCACTGCATCGAGTGATTGGGTGTGGCGGTCTGGGGTCGAGTGCATGGGTGCGGAGATCTGGGCGCGCTCCGCAACAATGCGACCGCCGACCGGAGTACTACCTGTGGGTCTATTTTAGAACCTCGAGTTGAAAATTTGTTTAATTGCGTTTATTTTTGCCCGAAAAAGAGGCTGTAGACCGGAGTACATTGTACCTGTTCTGTGTACGGGTAGATCTACTCTGGCTACAGTAACCTCTCCCCCCCCCCCCTTCGGTACATGTACATGACACAGTCATTTCATGTACATGTACATGATTGTACATGTACATCTGGTAATGCCATTACCATCACGTTACCATCACCATACCATCACCATACCGTTACTGTACTCATGGTATGGTGATGGTATGGTGCAAGCTAGATTTCCAGTTGGCTCGCATAGCGTGATCGCCGCGCGCAGCCTTCTCGTCCCTCGCTCCCGGACGAAACGCGCACATAATCATTGCACGTAATGATTATGTCGTTGAGACACGGGACATGACGTCAGGGTGGAAGTATTCCGCGATCCGCCAGGGCAAGCTGCGCTCAGCGGGTCTGGCGTCATAGCACATCCCAATGGCTTAACATCTGTCCCCGCAGTCTCTGGGGGCACGACATAGCCAAATCACATTGACCGGACATTTAAACACAGGTGGTATTTACTCGTTTTACCGGTAGGCATACACGTTATGCATCCCACCAACAGAGTAGATGCCCCCCCCCCCCCCCACACACACACCGTGACACGCCTACTGCACATGTACATGTAATTGAATATGCATTAATTTTATGGTATTGTTCAATGGCATTGTTGTTTTCGCTCTGAGTGTGATAGCCATGGATGGATTCTTTTCGAACAGGTCGCAGCAAGTCTGAACCTGTGAGTCTCACAAATCCGGAGACCAGCTACATGTAGCTGGTCTCCGGAGCACTGCTTTACTCTAGATCTGCATTAGTACATGTACATGTACATGTACATGTACATGTACAATGTACATGCACCAGCAATGCCCATGTACACTGTACATTGTAAAATTTACAGTGTTCCACGAGCCGTTTCATTTTGACGGTTAGCCCGGTTCAACTAACTTCTCTCTCTCCCTCGTCATAGTACACACACACACACACACACACACACACACACACACACACACACACACACACACACACACACACACACACACACACACACGCACACACACATACGCACGCACAATCTCTCTCTCTCTCTCTCTCTCTCTCTCTCTCTCTCTCTCTCTCTCTCTCTCTCTCTCTCTCTCTCTCTCTCTCTCTCTCTCTCTCTCTCTCTCTCTCTCTCTCTCTCTCTCTCTCTCTCTCTCTCTCTCTCTCTCTCTCTCTCTCTCTCTCTCTCTCTCTCTCTCTTCTCTCTCTCTCTCTCTCTCTCTCTCTCTCTCTCTCTCTCTCTCTCTCTCTCTCTCTCTCTCTCTCTCTCTCTCTCTCTCTCTCTCTCTCTCTCTCTCTCTCTCTCTCTCTCTCTCTCTCTCTCTCTCTCTCTCTCTCTCTCTCTCTCTCTCTCTCTCTCTCTCTCTCTCTCTCTCTCAAGCCGGAGAAGGAAACGTGCACGCAGCTGGATGTTGCGAAAGTCCATGATTTCGTCATCATCCTTCCGTGTGGGCAGGTGCTATATCGTAGTGCGTATGTATCCGAGTGTCCAGGACGGAATTCTCTTGGGACATCCAGTCCTTTAGACGCCACAATGATTTAGCACAAAATTCGTGCCATGCCCTCTAACCCAGCCCACGGCTCTCGAATCCACAGGATAGAATACTTGCTTTAGTCACAATTCCGGCACAATGCCCTATATACATGTGTATACTGTTGTGATGGTAAAGGCCCTTGTTCAACATCTTCTTTTTGGCTGGTATACTGAGCACGGATAGCCTTCTCTCGTGAAGACAGGTAGTCAAGTTGTTGGTGGTGAGTTCATCACTGCCACTATGTTATGGATAGCTGTGTGTGAAAACCCCAAGTGCATGGACATGTGGATTCTGAATTCAGTGCCACGCACTGAAACCGGCATTGCCATTGCCCCGTGTCTCAAGCCGGCTCTGTAGGTCCCCTCGCACCCTACCAATCAGCAGGTCTTGGACACTGGATGATTGAGGCCCTTTGCGCGTATTTTTGTTTCTTTATCTACGCCGGGTCATCACGGGCACTCGCGCTTACTCTGAGTCTCTTGCGAAGCTCTACCCTCGACTCTCCCGCTTCGGGATGCCTTTCAAAGAGGTGACATTATACTCCAGTATCAAAAAAATAAAAAAAATAAATTATACTCCAGTATCATTCATCGCGAAAACAAAGCCACAACATGTAGTGCACGAACTACATTGTAACATCATAAGTAGAAGTACACCATGTACTATATCTATCTTCATGGCACATTCATGCTCGAATATGGAGCTATGCTATTCCGTTTCACACGTTCAGTTCAGGCGAGAAGCCGGAGCATCAGTATCACACCCACTCCAAAACATAATAAGTGAAGGAAATAGCGAAGTAGCAAGTAGGCTAGAGTGCATTTCACATGATTGTGTTTCTGCCACTTTCTGGCGCAGATCATCAACAGCAGAAGCGATTGAAGAGCTATCTCTTTACAGAATAGCGATAGAATTTACTGAATAGCAGAATAACAAATAACAACTGAACATAGCGATTGTTAGTTGGCAAACTCACTTGTCTTTATAATGCAGTTGCGTGAGGCCCACAATTTTCCTAGTCATCCCCCTAGAGAAGACAGAAATAGAGATTGTACCAGTAATACTGTAATGTGGAAAGGAAAAGGACATATGGATACAAGTTAAGAGTAACTCTCCATCACTGTAACTGGATACTATATACAGTCAGAAAGTGCAATAACTAGGCACAAAACTGACAAGTTACAGTGATGGAGAGTTACTCTTAACTCGTATCCATATATCGATCCTTTTCCTTTCCACATTTATTTATGGCTCAACATCCGAGTTTCAAATAATACTGTTTTCAGCTGGTTTTATACCCTAACGACTATAGGGCTCCGCATCACATCTGAATCTTATGACGAGCCTCGAAACAAACTTCGAGCCGTGGGCTGATGTCCAGGCAAGGATGGAGGTGACGATTCGGATCAGCGCTATTTCTGTTCTGGAATTCTCTCCTGTTGATCGCTGGGCTGCGGCTGCACGGTTGTCCTCTTGTACAGACTACCAACGCCATGGCTGCTACCCTGGTGAGTGTGGGAACATACACGAGAAATACATTGGACATGATGACTGCACCAAGAATGATCATAACAATAGGCTTTTTAAATACTCTTTGTTCATTCTTGAAATAGACCTCCAGCCCTGATGATGCCCTCCTGGGTGTGAAATCGAGTTGTGTGCTGTGGCCGATGACTGCATGTGTGTTGCGGGTTGGATATTTAAAAATATCAAGAATGACAAAACTACCTTGGGCTTCAGAGTTCACCACAAAATGTATGTGTTCACTCAAACTGTGCCCAGGTCTCATTCGGAAATGGTCGTGTTGGCTGACTAAGCCGACAATCATGACTTGTATTGAACATGCGACTGTTCGCCATAACAGGGCAACACTCAATTTACTTAGGCATGACATCGGCAAGGCAGTCCCTAGGACCGGCTCAGCAATAGGCTAACTGGTCGCAAGACCAACAAAGTTCTTATCGATTCTTTTCTTTGCCCAGGTAAAAAGGCAGCAATGCCTGTTCATTCTGGCAAAGTAAAACATAAAAGTACAATACATCAACCAATCAATACTCCCCTGCCCTCACAAATACTCAATTTGTGCAGAACGATAAGGCATGCCATGGTATTGGATAATGTAAAAATCAATACAAGTACCGTCTCATGTACACATATAGCATGGCTTCTGTTCTCTTTCACCTCCAAACGTTCTCCACTGCCTCCGTTCCCCCAACACCTATTAACTTTAACTGGCAATGCTTCACTCATCAGGTACTAGTACACAATGAATACGGGTCAGAATAAGAAAGTACCCCCCCCCCCCCCTCCCGCGGTCATCTGCATCGTTGCTTACTTCTCCCAGTAATATACAATGCACTTGTACATGCTACAGCAACGAAACGAAACAAGCCCAAACAAAACCCAATGCGGGCCCCTCTTTATCTCTTTCTCTCTGTCTCGCTCTCTCTCTCTCGCTCTCGCTCTCGCTCTCTCTCTCGCTCTCGCTCTCTCTCTCGCTCTCTCTCTCTCTCTATCTCTATCTCTCTCTCTCTCTCTCTCTCTCTCTCTCTCTCTCTCTCTCTCTCTCTCTCTCTCTCTCTCTCTCTCTCTCTCTCTCTCTCTCTCTCTCTCTCTCTCTCTCTCTCTCTCTCTCTCTCTCTCTCTCTCTCTCTCTCTCTCTCTCTCTCTCTCTCTCTCTCTCTCTCTCTCTCTCTCTCTCTCTCTCTCTCTCTCTCTCTCTCTCTTTCTCTCGCTCCAAAAAGGTGTCTTTACACACGCACGGTTGCCAGGATGTTGTTTGGTAAAATTACTATCAATTTCTTGGATACTCCCACTCGGAACACACACACACACACACCACACATACACACACACGCACAAACGCACGCATACACACATAAAGAACACAAACATCCACATATATGCGCGACATACCTTGTTCGTGCTTTGGGTCTTGCACCGATCTTGCAGTAACTGCAACTCGAACTGAATAATCACTCCGATCAGCAATCCTCTGAAGGGGCTCAGTTAATGTGGGGAAACATCAGCAAGGAGGTGCGTGAAAGCCTTTGGGGTTCTGCCTTCCAGTCGATCAGCTGCCTTGGGCGAGGCAGTCCGTCGTTTGAACCAAGGAATCGTTGCCCTGAGCCAGTCATGGCGGACGAGAAGGAGGCTATGGTGGGGCACTGTGTTTAACTCAGTCCCCACTGGTCGCGAAGAGCAATGTAGCAACATCGATTAGTTTGACCTGCGATCATGACCAGCGGATGTTGAAGCTCGCTCAGTGTCGACTGGTCCCATCTGAAAATTGCCATGGCATCGTTACGAGCGCAATTCCAGAGCTAGAGCACGGACATTGGCAACGAAGGACATCGTCGGAAGACATCGGCAACAAGAAACAATTCCAGAATGTTGTTTCCTTTTCCATTCCCTCAACGAGTAAATAACACGTTCATTGCAACTCGAAACAGGATTGCAGGATAATCTAATCATGACTAGTGGGCAAAGTGAGAACAGCTGCCGAGATTAGCAAATATTTGTTAGAAGCAGTTTTTCACATGGCCAGCACCCTGATCAAACGACAAGGGTATGGAAGCTTGGGCTAACGCCATGTCTGGCGAAACCTTTAGACAAATGATGCTGTGCGTTGGCTTGCTTGGAGCGAAAGAGTTTCTGGACTTGGTGATTCCCTGGTGAGGAGTTTTGTGTGTTTGACGAGCAGCGGCCATGAGATGATTGAGTCATTCGTTGTTGTATGTGTGTGCAGCAAGGGATGGTGAGTGCATGGAGAAAGGATCACCGCCAAACTGGTCTGACAAAGGCAACGGTTTGTGACTTTGCGTGTAACAACCTTTGCGTCCACACAGCGTCGCGAAATCGTTGCTCAGCTTCTTTTCATGATCAATAGCGAGTGCTTTGAAGGTCATACTCCAATGGCCAGGGCAATATGGGTGTTTGTGATTGTTATGTCATGGCATGGTTGGTAATCGTTCACACCGAAATTACAATTACATCATGCAAATTGCAATGACATCATTCTCCTACTGACGCTGTCTTGGATGGGAGGGAATATGGTAATACAGTATTACTATTATGTGTATCATAATTCCCATGGGTACGTATGCCACTACCGATTTCCGAGTCTGCCACCTGCTCTCGAGCGATTCTATCGTTGTGGGATGGCGAGATGATTAATCCGAATAACGTTATCACCTCAAGCTCTAGCAGGAGGAGGCGACTCCCATTCGTGCATATCTTGTCCACCCACTGCGCACGGGACACGAAACAATCTCGCCTGCCAGCGCTGCAATGTTGTTTTCTAAGAATTCGATCCCTGCCGCACGATCATGACCCTTTTCAGAAGGCAATGTGCGTGGTGATCACACTGATTGCCAGAATGGCGCATGGCCACAGAGTCATCGTCCAGTGGCAATTGACCTTTCTGTTGGGATGTCAGGTCCGTTGGGACCCGAACTGCACCTTTTTAAAACTTCACCGCACGTTGCCGATTCCGCATTACGTGATTGTGGTCCAGCTGGAGATGTTGCACCATCGGATGGCCTAGAGACTAGAGTAGAGTAGACTGGGCTAGAGGCTGCCCCATATCAACCACCACTGTTTGGTCCCTAGTCTGAGAGGCTCTGTTGTCTGTCGTGTCCACGAGATGGGCCACGAGATAGGATGGCCACGATTCCAACTGGGAGATTTGTGCGCCCAACAAAACATTGCCATTGGGCAGTGACACACACATACCACATAGTAATAGTATAGTGACATACTGGGTCTACTGCTGCTGGCAGTGCTGCACAGCCTGCAGGTGCTGGTCTTCACTGAGCCTGTAAGTATGTAGACAGCATGCGTGCATTATGTTCATATCAAGTCACAAGTGCCGAAGTGGCACGTGCGAAATGAGGGGTTCTGTAGTAATCTGTACGCTATGAGTCTAGTATGACATAGCTTTTCAGGCGGGCTCTCCATTCATGACGTAACTATGACGCTCCTCCGGTCACGTGGCACGTGAGGAGAACACTTCAAACGCGGTCGAAAACAGCAGCCGCCCACACGCTGGGTGCATCAGAGCGGCACAGCCTGTGACCTGGTGACGCGAGAAGCGTCGAGAACAACTCTAGGCTGCCACACACTGCGTACACACACTGACACGGGAACCCTTTGGGTGACGAAGCTTACTCATCGATGAGGAATCCTGGCAGTTTTGTAGGCGATCTTCGACGTTGAAAATACTGGCGCTACTTCGTGCGAGGCGGAGCCTGGGTGTTGTGCAAGAACGCCTCGAGGTCAGAGTGATGTCATCTGAAACAGCCGTGATATAAAAGCCAGAAAAGCAAATTGACCCCAGATTTTCATTTGAAGAGTCGAGGGAGGGTGATCTCAGAAATCGTCTGTCTCAGCTCGGCGTGTTTGACACTGTGACATAGGTAGGCGATACTTCAGATCATAGACACTTGTCCATTCTACTGTTTTGACGGGATCACAACGCACGTCGACCACGTGTAGCTTGGCCATTCAGTCTGTGCCTCACTTGGAGTGTATGGCCACTTCGACAAGATTTTCAGGCACTTCAAAAAGCGCTCTGGAAAGCCCCAAACCGACTCGCACAAGGATTTTGCGTTGCAGTGCATGTAGCGCAGGCGATAAAACGTCGCTTGGATAGCTGATGCACGGGTTTCGCGTGCAGACCTTGGAAAAGTGTCAAACCCAGAAAGCAACGAGCACTTTGCTGACAATCGAATACTGATGGCAAATGCAACGACGCTCCAACAAGCAACTGCGCACCAGATCTGGCAGCCATTCTTCGGTAGCAGCGCCAGCAACACCAACGAAGCGGCAGCCAAGAACTCGGCAGCAGCAGTGGCTGCAGTCGCCGCCGCTCCAGTCGTGGTAGCGAATAGCATCGAGCAGCTTCTTCTGGCGCAGAGCGCCGCCACGGCCAGTATCTTTCAGGCAGCAGCTCTGGCCAACAGCGTGTCCGCGGCCGACCTCCAGCTCATTCAGCACAGAGCGACGACTGGCGGAACCAGAGGCAGTGAGGCCGCTGCGGCGACGACTTCCGACAATCGCGACGCTCTCGCACTGACCGATGTCGCAGCAGCATACACCACGAGTTTGCCGAGCTCCAGCGGCGACGAGGATGTTGCACTGGAGCATGTGCGGGCGTACACGGTCGAGGAGCCATCGTCAGACTCCTCATCCGGCAGCGGGCACACCGACACTGCGATGGACGATGGCGAGCTTGACTTTCTGTGCGAGCTGCTGTCCGAGCAGTCGGATGACGAGGCGATCGCCGCGCGCAGCACGTCTCCGCTTCAAGTCCAACTCGGGTGGAGCAGTACGAGTGCGGCTAGTCTCACAGCAGGAGCCGTGTCTCCGACATGTAGTCCGGTAGGCAGCCTTGTGACCGTCCTGTCGTCGTCGGACATTCAAGCAGCAGTTGGTGCTGCTGCTGCTGGTGGTGCTGGCTCCGGCATAGTAGCGGCCAACGAGCTAACACTGGATCAGTTCCTCAGCGCATACGACGATCTGAGACCCGCAAGCATTCTGGAGCAATCACGTGACGGCGACACAACTGCCAGCGCTAGTCAGGTTACGTTCAACAGTCCAGCGTCTGGCCCAGTCGGACGAGCGCCGGCACTGGAGCACGCGGGGAGCATCGACGACATCCTAGTCGCCGCCGCATCACCAGCCTCAAGCGTTGCCACAGTGACGATCGCCGAGACAACGGAAGACACCATGACGTCGCCTGCTGCCAAGACGACAACGCAGGTGGAGGGCAGCACACTTCACGCGGCGGTGCGGGCACACAGCGTGCCCAGCAAGGCGGCGAAACGCTCGCCGCGTCTGACCATGACGCGACGCACCCTGTCGGCGCCGACGACATACAAGATCACGCTGCCGGACAGCGACGAGACGGACCGCAGCACGGCGAGCAGCGGCAACGACACCATCACCTCGATCACCGGCGGCGACGGACAGACGGAGATCCGACGCCACCGCGGGTCGCGCGGCAAGAAGAAGAACCGCAACCGCCCGTCCTCCGACTCCGTGGCAACGCCGGGAAGTGGTGCCGGCGGCGGTCGAGCAAGCCCGACCTACGACAAGGACTCGCATCGGTATCGGCGTCGCCGGGATCAGAACAACGAGGCCGTCCGCCGATGCCGCCAGCGTACCAAGGAGAAGTACGAGGAGAGCGTGAAGCACGCCGCATCCCTGCAGGCGCAGAACACGGCGCTGCGCGACCGCCTCGTTGCCATGGAGAAGGACATGTCGTCGCTACGGCATCGGCTGGCGTCGACGCAGCTCGGCAGCGCGTCGCCTCTCGCCGGCCAGCGCTTTGCTCACCCTGTTGATAGCAGTGGCAGTGGTAGTAGTAGCGACGAGGAAATCCTGATGACGCAGCCACTGCCCACATCGGCAGCAGCCACCACCTCCTCTGCCGGCTCACTGTGGGAAATGCTCATCAACGGAGAGCTGTGAGAACTGGTCGTGTGCATTTTCGCAGATCATCGCCACTCTGCCTAGCAATACTGATTTACAAATTTTAGTTCTGTTTTTAATTTTTTAATTTTCTTGTCAAACCTGTTCACGACTTCTAGCAATTATCTTGATGACAATTCACCCCCATGTCACCATGGTAACCTGATTAGCCTCCACGGCCGTTGGTCGTATCTTTGCCGCGTGTTCACCTGCCGTAGCACGGAACGAAGTGGCGAGAACTGATCTTTCTCCGAATTTGATCTCTATGCTGACCTGCGTTGGTTTGGCACCCACGCTGTCACACGCACGTTTTCCAAGCAGCGCCTAGCATGGCGCTCAGAAACGTGCTTGGTCCTGGCGATATTGATCAATGATCCCAGCAGCAATATCTGGTATGATATTCAATTTGTGGGTCACTTGAGCTTGTCAACTTGCGTACACGCCGCTGCACAGCAACATTGATGACACATCCTAGGAGCTTATTTCCTGTATTCACTCCTGCTGGGTGTCTTTCTTGTGACGCTCGCGAGTGTGTGGCTCACTGTTGCAGCGGTCTGTTCTGACTTCCGCTATATTTTCAGTTTCAATACAACCCGGTTCCCTCTCTTCAAAGTTTGCTTGTGTGTGTTGCTGTATCGATGAGCTTTACCAGCCAGCAGGGCGTGAAAACGCCTGTACACATAATATCAATGTGCACGGTGATGAATGTGCACATGATTGTATCTTTTTCTTGGGGGGGGGGGGGGGGGGGAGGGTAGCCCCAAAGGTGCTCGCCCTTTTTTGCCCTGTTTGGCTCTTTTTGGAAAAGCCCGTTTCTTTCGCCCTTTACTGCGTTTTTGGTGAATATCGCCCTTTCTGAGCTTTTTGAGCTGAAAAAGTGCTAACATCTGTTTGCTCATGCATGCGATCACAGTTTGCGAGTGCTCGATGGGCCTTGGCACGCCGCTTTTTCGGGGGGGGGGGGGGCAACAAGTTGGTGAAGCTTGTACCCGCGGCACCCGGTGTGCACAATGCTGTAAAAAGTGGGTTTTTTTGAACTTTACTTCCTGTTTTGCCTTTCGGCGCGGACCCATAAAAATGGAACGGAGTGCGTATTCATTTCTCAGCTTGGGTTCATACATTTTGTATCTGAACACGTCTCATGGCTATAAAAATAAAGTAAATTATCGTGTCCGTTCCCGAAGGGAACTCACGACGGCCGCTAACACCCGCACGGCTGTCCCGTGCATGCGATCAGTGGCCATCCAAAATGGCGTCCAGAAATTTGAATTTTCAAATCTGGTACGTCCGTCGTACCTGAAAAATAGCATCGTTTTAGAGTATTTCGATTGCTTTCAGACCCGTTTTCAGCGTTAATCGTAACTTTCCCGCAGAAAAAATTGGTGTTTGGGCGAGGAGAAAGAACGGCCTTCTTCCTGACATCGCACTCGAGAAAATCCGAAAGTGTTCCGTCTTTCTTGAGGTCGCGCATGGCGGAAATGTAGTTCCACGAAGATGTTGTGATTGTCTACAATACCGACGTCTCTGTAGACCTTCGTGGAGTTTTCTGAGCCTGCTGGGCAGTTTTGTAGGCTGCTCCTGGCCTTTTTTAGCCCCTTTGTTCATGACTTGTTGAGTCCCACGCAGCGGAACTTGGTCCCGTGCGATATCTTTAGTGGGCAGTCATGGACGAACATTTGTCCATTTTGGACTCAGTATGTCGTGTTGGTGGTGCCAAGTTCACTAATCTAGGCCACAGCATGCGCTATAGCACTCAGCAATATAAAGAGCAATTAAAACAAGTTCACCAGATCGACATCACAGAAGACAAACCTGATACACACCCTAAATACATATGTTCGCTATGCCAACGTGCACTGGCAAGGAATGCATCTGGCACACAGCATTGTGGAGGTGGTTGTGGGTCACCAGTCACATGGGAAGGTCACAAACGTGCTGGTTGCACTGTCTGTAAGTTGTATCAACAACGCTCAAAGGGTGGAAGGCCGCCGAAGAAAAAGACCAAATTGCGCGGCGGAGCCTTACCAGACACGGGAACCAGCCAGGCTACGGCAGTACCAACGCAGGTAAGTGTAGCGGTAGCTACTTAGAGTAGTTTCGCCTGACTGTTTATTGCAAAAGGGGGAACATTATCGGACACGGAAAAGCACAACTTACTACAAGGAGAGCAGAAACGAAGAGCTGATTCCAATCGGGAATCACTGTGTAAAGAAGACAGAGAGCGGAATGGACGGCGGTGCTGCGTGCACACAGCAGCGACCGGAAGCAGCGTGCCCAGTACGGGATGCCATGTATAGATGGAGCCCGAGGGCAGTGCACTCAGACATGAATACGCACGCGCACCCGAGTACTGCGTTCAGTGCATGCGGGGACTGTGCCATAGAAGGGGAAGGGTTAGTGATGCGCAGCCAGCAAGTCCAGCGGTACATGAATGCATGAGTCAATGGTACAGCAGGCAGGCTGCGGTTCTTATACAAGTAGACACGTTAGATCAATGCGAGTGAGTGTAGGGAGTAGGAAGGAGAAACCTGGAGACAGACAATGATATGCCTAGGGATAGAGTTCTGTCATGATGCTACTCATTACACTACATCTCCCCTAACGGAAAGAGTTGCAGGCCCAGACAATGCTATGCCCAGGGATAGAGTTCTGTCATGATGTTACTTATTACACCACATCTCCCCTAACGGAAAGAGTTGCAGGTCCATGTTTACATTGTCGAGATGAGCCGCTCCGGTGCAATGGCTGTGCGACTTGAACAGGTAGTGGAGGTGGCACTTGTGTTGGGCTCGGCGGCTGCAGGCATGCCGTTTTGGCTCGCCACAGGAGCTTCTCCACCGCTTGGTGGCTTCGGGCTGCGGCGGGAGTAGCCGTGAGGTGTTGCAGTGAGCCGTTGCAGTAAGCTGTTGCAGTCAGCCGTTGCAGTAAGCCGTTGCAGTAAGCCGTTGCAGTGAGCCGTTGCAGTGAGCCGTTGCAGTGGGCCGTTGCAGTGAGCCGTTGCAGTAAGCCGTTGCAGGTTGCAGTAAGCAGTGGGCCGTTGCAGTGAGCCGTTGCAGTAAGCCGTTGCAGGTTGCAGTAAGCCGTTGCAGTAAGCCGTTGCAGTAAGCCGTTAAGCCGTTGCAGTGAGCTGTTACAGTAAGCGGTTGCAGTGAGCTGTTGCAGTGAGCCGTTGCAGTGAGCTGTTGCAGTAAGCCGTTGCAGTAAGCTGTTGCAGTAAGCCGTTGCAGTGGGCCGTTGCAGTGAGCCGTTGCAGTAAGCCGTTGCAGTGCTGTTGCAGTGAGCCGTTGCAGTGAGCTGGTGCAGTAAGCTGTTGCAGTAAGCTGTTGCAGTAAGCTGTTGGCTTGCAGCGGTGTGTCGTGAAGCGATCGCGGATGCGGCCATCGCGAGCGTCCTTGAAATCGCCGTTGTCCGCGCCGCCGTAGAGACGACGCAGAAGTGACTCGTCCACGGTCTCGGATGGCGACTGTGTGTCGCGTTCGAACATCGTTCGTCCGTGGACGACGTTGGACACGGGCGTGACGTACGCCGAGAGTTTCGTCTCCACTTCCTGAGATTTATCGCGATCGCTGGCGTTGTCGAACGCGAGCCATCCTAGATCCTGAAGTTGCAGACCAGGTTCGTTGCGGATCAATGTTATTTTGTTATCACTGATCCTGTTCACTGCGCCATGTAGCGGTAGCTACTTAGAGTAGTTTCGCCTGACTGTTTATTGCAAAAGGGGGAACATTATCGGACACGGAAAAGCACAACTTACTACAAGGAGAGCAGAAACGAAGAGCTGATTCCAATCGGGAATCACTGTGTAAAGAAGACAGAGAGCGGAATGGACGGCGGTGCTGCGTGCACACAGCAGCGACCGGAAGCAGCGTGCCCAGTACGGGATGCCATGTATAGATGGAGCCCGAGGGCAGTGCACTCAGACATGAATACGCACGCGCACCCGAGTACTGCGTTCAGTGCATGCGGGGACTGTGCCATAGAAGGGGAAGGGTTAGTGATGCGCAGCCAGCAAGTCCAGCGGTACATGAATGCATGAGTCAATGGTACAGCAGGCAGGCTGCGGTTCTTATACAAGTAGACACGTTAGATCAATGCGAGTGAGTGTAGGGAGTAGGAAGGAGAAACCTGGAGACAGACAATGATATGCCTAGGGATAGAGTTCTGTCATGATGCTACTCATTACACTACATCTCCCCTAACGGAAAGAGTTGCAGGCCCAGACAATGCTATGCCCAGGGATAGAGTTCTGTCATGATGTTACTTATTACACCACAGTAAGTGTGGTCAAATTTGGATGTGCAAAAAGCAACATGTCAGAGCCTAATCATGGATGTAATGCTTTTTATATTAATTCTCTGTCTTCATAACAGGTCCCAGCCCCAGCCTCGGGGATCGAGACTCGCACCGTCGAACAGCCGGCATCATTAACGCGTGGTGCAGCTACAGCTGAACAGACTACCAGTGCCGAACAGTCTGTATCACAATCACAGAACACAACAGCAGCCACACCAGCTCCCTGTGCGCAGCAGTCCGTATCGGCTACGCCCAGTACAACCGTTGTCGGTGAAACAACAGCAGACACTCAGGTATACAAGCAGAAATTGATGAAACAAAATTGGGAATGAACACACATGCGCGCACACACACACACACACACACACACACACACACACACATGCGTGCACACACACACACGCACACACATGCAAACACGAACACACACAACACAGTGTTCAACGGCAGCAGACATACATCAAAATCAATGCTTGTAGGCACCTATACAAAAGAAGTGAATTCAGTCGAGTCCTACGCATGCAGATAACCATTCTCAGCAGTAGTATGGTACAGCATTCCATGAAACACAACTGTGTATACTACTATTATATCTGTGCAGATCTTTGAAACGGCCACGGCAAGCAGTACCTCACAGCAGCAGCTGCCAGCACCACATGAGCCCGAGATATCTATCGACACACGCGCATCAGTATCCACACAGGTGCGTATCTCTGTTATAGAGCAGTCTGTGTATCCAATCCAACCAGGTCTTAAAACTAAAACAGCAATTGTCAGATTAGATAGTGGAGATATTACAGAAAAGAAATGAGCTTCGCAATGGACTGAATATAAAGAAAGGGAATGATAGAGCAAAATGGACTGCATGTGGCAAAATTCCTTGCCAACCACAGTAGTCAACAGCGTGGTGGTTCTACTTGTTTATTGGCGTCGTTGCAGGTGTCTACACCACTAACCCAGCAAGGACTGACACGTCCGGTCACCAAATCGGCTACAATCGCTCAAGTCCTGGACGCATCACCATCCAAGCTCCGCGGTGATACTGCTGACAGGCTGCTTGGCCACCTGGTTTCCGCTCGTTCTGACTCAGGGAAGCTGGAGGTGAAGCAAAGTGAGCGTGGCAGACCGCAGGTATATCAAAGGCTTACATTCGCTGACACATCCTCCGAGGCAGCCAGTGAACGTACGAAGAGACGGCGAACAGCAGAACTGAGGTCGCTCACTGAGTCTGTATGTGGTGGAAGTGCCGGCGCCAGTGCCCAGACTGTAGCAATTCTTCGCAGGATGAGCAGCGACGAGCAGATGGATCTCCTCAGAGAGGCTGGGTTGGCACCACATTCGCCCGAGGCTGGAATTGGCTTGGCCATCAAAGCCGACCTCATGCTCCCGTGGAATCAACTCAGGAAGCTGCGGCAATGGCTTAAGCAGTGTGGAGTGAAGTTCGAGTCAGAACGCAAGATGCGAACAACACTAGCAGCAGCCCTTCCACCCTACACGGCCAAGGACGTGCCAATGGTGGTGAAAAAGCAGATCGCGCTGGCACCGGTGGTGTACATGCCCAGCTTGGAGGTAGTCATCAACCACTACCTCCAGCTATACAAGGATCGTGGGCTACTGACATGGCACGATGGTGCAATACCGGAGAGCGAGGTTTGGATAAAGCTGGGCGGGGACCATGGCGGTGACTCGTTCAAGTTCTCCATGCAAGTAGCCAACCTGCAGCACCCCAACTCGCCGGACAACACCGTACCGCTGTGTGTATTCCACGCAAAGGACACGCCAGCGAATCTGGAAACTGCACTTGGTATGTACCGCGATGAGGTCTTGCACCTTATCTCACATGGCAAATGGGAGGGGAAGCGGCTCGTCCTCTTCATCTTCGGAGACTACGAGTTTCAGTGTAGTATGTACGGGTTGTCGGGACCAAGTGGCCTACGTCCGTGCTTACATTGCCACTGCAAGAAGAAATCTATGGAGACGCCAGTATTGCAGAGAGAGCCTGAGGACAGTGTACCCCGCTCCCTGGCCACCCTCAGTAGCAACCTGCTGGAATTCATCGCAGACGGGGAGAGATTACCAAACGCCAAGTTACACAACAACGTCATTCGTCCGGCAATCCTTCCTGTGCCACTACCCAACGTCATCGTGCCAGTCCTCCACCTGGACTTGGGCATATTTGCCTGGATGTTCGATGCAATGCTGAAGGATCTGCGTGAGCTGGACAAGCTCTTGGCCAGCAAGGCCCAGTCTGCTGCTGGAGATAGCGACGCTTTCGGACGGCTATCTGGCCTCTATCGCGACCATCACGACGCAGAAGAGCAGATAGCAGCAGCGTCGGAACAGGCCTCTGGTTACCAGCAGCAGCTGAACTACGTAGCACTGCATGCCCACAACCAGGGTGTTACTGGCGGTAACTTAGAGTTCGTGTGTGAGCAGATCAGAGCGGAGTGGCAGAAGGCCAATGACACAGTCGTGGAGATGACAAAGGCAAAGGAGGGCATCTCGCAGCAGATACTTGCCGCAACTGCTGAAAAAGACATATGTGGGCCTTGTGAATCGGCAGTCGAACCTGTGCTGCAATCCCACAACATCAAGCGCCAGGTGTACCACGGAGGTGCATTTATCGGAAACCACGTGCACCGCGCACTTCAGCCCGCTGTCCTGCAGTCGATTGCTGCTGCTCCCATCTCAGTAATTCAGGAACGCTGTCCCGACCTGATGGATGATGCCAGCGTTGTCCAGTTGCGTTACATGAAGCTGCTGGACGAGTACAGGAAGTGTACTTCTGCCTTTGGCCATTGCAGGAAGGTAAACATAACTCAATATAACTATTTATTCCCTGGGAGCTTTTTCGTCTGTTCCAAGCCATCAAATTCCATTATCCACATGATTCCACTTTCGATGCAGGTACTCTGAATTTGATTATGAATATTTGATCCAGAGCTGATATTTAATATGTGCTGTTTATTCCAGGTCACACGAGCAGAGGTTGAAGAGCTGGAATCCAACATCAGGACCTTCCTCAAGTCAGCACGGAAGGAGGTGGTCGATCGAGGGCTTGGCCACATAACGCCGAAGCTTCATCTTCTGGAGAGCCACACCGCTCCGGCAATGGAGAGGCTCGGAGTAGGGCTCGGTTTGCTGGCCGAGCAAGGAGCAGAGAGCATCCATGCAGAGTTTAACACTCTTGAGCGAAGATACCGCCAGATTCCTGCTCTTCTGCAGAGGCTGAAAGCTATGGCTGAGCAGCATCTGTCCCGAACCTTGCCTCAAGCCATTCACCGTCCCACGACAAAACGTCGCCAGTCGACATGATCTCTGGCAAGTATCGTGAGTAACCAACTTTATTTGCTCTCTCTCTCTCTCTCCTGAACTCGAGTGGATTTCTTTTTCTGCGGCGCAACTCTTCATAGGAATGTACTCGGGTGTGCAGTCTCTCTACCTACTGTTTGCTTTCTTCATCTTTCTGCTCTACAGGCACACAGCTACTTGACCACTTGCCTCGTCATCGAGATCGCGATGCACCGTCAATACTCAACAAAGAACTGAACAAGAACTTCTTGAAGAAAGCTTTGTTGTTTGAACGAACAACAACTGACTTGAACTTTTTTTAGTTGAAGTTTCCAGCTCGCGCTGCTTTGATCTATTTGGGTTTTACCTGCTTTGCCGTATGTTTTTATCATTATTCCCTCTGTTTTCTAATAATTCCACTGGTATTGGCAATTTCCTGTGTAAAATCGCATAAACGCGATTTTCGACAAAAATCGCCGCCATATTGTTAGATGGCCGCGTACGAACAGCCGTGCCCGGTAAACCCATCATCATGGCTATGCTTCACTGAAAAAAATACCACTTTTTGCCTGTTTTCACTGAAAAAAAGAGCACTTTTGCAGCATATTTTGAGGGACGCGAAAAGCACTAAGTGCGAATTAAAAGAGCACCTTCTGGGAAGGGCTAGTGGAGGGCAGAAATTTGCAAATTCCAGTTGGAACTGTTTCTATCGATTTTCCCCTGCATGATTGTACGAGTACTCGTATTCGTAATACTGTACCGGCATTTACTATTATTATATACAAGGGATTCCATGCACAAAGGCTTTCGACGATCGAGGGGAGTGCTCTCTCTCTCTCTTTTTCTCCCTGCCACGTTATCGTACCAGTTACCATTTATAGTTTTGTTGCAAAGGTTACGGACCCTATCAGTATGTATTTAAAAACGCATGGTGTGTCCACCCGATGTCAAAAATCTCACTCAAAATCACAACTAGCATGCACAAAGTAGCACCTTGTACACCTTTGGCTTTTGATCAACGCACACACACACCCGCACACACCCGCACACACACAGACACACACCCATCTGTGCTGTAGTGAGCATGTACTTCACATTCGCCATGTCTACCTATTTTCACGGTGTACCAATGCCATTGCCAGCCGCGCATTTGCAGGTGTAGTGACTGGACTACGCAGACTAGATTATACCAGCTACAATTGTAGACGCCTGCATATTAGCATTTATGCACACCCACACCCAAACACGGTACAAGCATTTCTGCGAAATTTGCCGCGACCGCGGAATCGCGTTTTTCCAAGGGGACAGATATTAACTGCCCATTCCACATTCAAAAGCATGTGAATTGACCCCCAATGCCAACCTGGCCTATGCCACATGGAGCACATCGAAATATGTAGGAGAGCGCAGAGAGTGACCTACGCTCACCCAAGCAACCCTACACTTGCTGTGGTAACCATGGTAACCGGTATAGACAGTAATAAGGCTGCTTTGATAGCGGACACCGGATGCACTGGTACCAAGCGAACATACTTTTGAAGTAGGAATTACTGAACCAACCAAACAACATGACAATTGAGTATTTAGAACCCAGAGCCAATGGACATACGATTCGTTCCAACATTCCACAACCTCAGCCATGTGAAAGCTATCGTACTGTAGTAATAGCGCAATGGATTGTGGAGCCGAAACTAGTCCAACTTCCAAACGTTTGGAAAGAGGAAGGTTTCCGACAGGTGGTACACATGCACACGCACACATGCACACACATGCCTCCTCAGCCTCAGACCTGCCCATCGCGGAAGCGATGATAGCGAACAGCTATGTCTAACATAGCAACTTGTGCTGGGATTACACCATTCAACAGCTTGCAAGGCTGATGAATTGACCGCCACTATTTTTAGCCTGGTATCCACCACACAGCTGATTGAAGTGACTTTTTCTGGCCAGTGAATCCCTATTTTTCATTTTTTTCCCTTTTTCTACACACACACACCACACCACATACTCCGGCATACACTGGCTGTTGGTAACCACCCAGGAGAATGAAAGAAAAGTCAGGAAGAGTCCGAGAAAGAAAAGAAAGACGTGTGCGACCATAATCGTCGGGAATTGAACCCGCAACCTCTCGATTGGAAATTGACTGCACATACCACTGCACCATATGGGACACATGCACATGCACATGCACACACACACACACACATGCACACACACACACACATGCACACACACACACACACACACACACACACACACACACACACACACACACACACACACACACACACACACAGGCAGACAAACCAGGTGATACCCGACTGGCGTATTCTCAGCTATGTCCAGAATTACTTTGGGGTTAGAAATCAAAGAGAAAACTTGCTCTCGGTTGTTGTTGTTGGTCTGTTCGCCACAGTTGCAGTGTGGGCTTTACTCGTCCGCTTGTTGCTGTCTGTCCTGCTCGCCGTCAGCTGATAGCAACGGTGACGACAGGTCTTGCTGGTCGTCTTGGTTGCCGTACACGTACGTCTCGCCAAGCTCACGCGCAAACAACACGTCGAGGAAGTCCTTGTCGTAACGCTCGTACGATCCCAGGTCGGACTCGCCGAGGAAGATGTCGTCGTGCAGCGCTTCTTCTTCGTTGTCCGTGCGGCCCATCGACGCCGCCACGATGGCCTTCTTCAGGACGAGCGCGTCGTCGATCGGGTAGATCTCGCTGGAGTTCTCGGGGAACCAGGCGTTCCGCAGAGAGAGATCGCCTTCGCTGACCGTGGCCACGTGCCAACCGCGCTGCTCCAGCAGCAAACGCTTGCAGTTTGCCTGTCCCATCAGCACGTTGGGCTTGAGGCGCCGCCGGTCCAGCTCTGAGATCACCAGCAATGCCACGGGTATGGCTCCGCCGTCGAGCGCCATGCCCGGCTCGATGTCCGCCGGCGACAAGCCCTGCGGCCACGCCAGCGTCGTGTGCGTGCGCGGGTCCACCAGGCACGCACAGTGCACGTACAGCGGGCCCAGCTGCACGTCCGACAGCACGCGGCCGCCAGTTGCCGCCGACAGTGTGGTCGTGATCTTGCGACTCCGCGCGTGGTGCAGCAGGCTCGTCTTGTGCAGGAGGTGCTCGAGCGCGGCGCGCTGCCCGGCGTCGACGATGGGCATGGCGTCGGCGATCTGCTCGATGTACGGCAGCACGCTCACGGCCATGACGTCGTCACGCACGTAGCGCAGCGCCGCCGACGTGGCGTACGCCGCCAGCTCGTCGGGAAGCTGGTCGCCGCCGCGCAGCGCCATGATGCCCCAGGCCAGCTGGCAGATCGTCACCGGGTTCATCATGAGCTGATAGGCGCGCCGCTCGCGCACGTACTCCAGCGCCCGCTCCTCCAGGGCCGCGTGCCGCTGTCGGTACGCGGCGTGCTGCAGCACGGCATAGGTCAACAGCGGCAGGTTCTGGTATTGGCTGTTGACCGCGCTGTCCGCGATGGCCGCCAGCGTCGGAGAGTGGCGCACGCGGAACGCCAGCTGCGACAGCACGAACTCGGCGAAGTTGGGCGTGCGCATGCGGCCCTTGGAGAACTCGATGATGTCCGGCATGCGCAGGAACAGCAGCTTCAGCAGCTCGCTGTCCGGGTTCGGGTGCACCTGCGTCGAGTTGATCAGCACGCGGCAGATGCGGAAGCGGTCCGTGGGCGCCAGTAAGTCCAGGCTGGTGCTGTTGATGTGCGACTCGACCAGGCGCAGCAGGGAGACGAAATGTGGCGTCAGCGTCAGGCAGTTCAGCGTGAAGCGCACCACAATGCTGATTTTGCTTGCCGCCGGGCTGTGCCCGTCCTGCACGTCGCACAGCAACGTCTCCAGGAAAGGCTGGGCAAACTGCTTGGGATCACTCTGTCTCACGGGCGCGTTGTCCATGTAGGCGTATATAGAACAAGCCTCTCTGTGCCTTATCCCGCCAATAAACGTGTTATTTAACCACAGCGAGCCATCCTCCGAGTACGAGTCTGCGATGAAACGATATAGCATTGGCTTCGGGGCTTTGCCATACGGCACCGACTTTTTCGCCAGTCTATCAGCCAGCCGTATTCGGTCCGGTGGAGACAGCTCCTTGATCATACGCTTAACCGCGATGGCTTGAGGTGATGTCTCAGAGGCATTCCTACTGATCTGCAGGTTGGCCAGCACTTTCAGGATATTTAGAATTCGAGGATTCTCTTGCGTCAGAAGCTGCGACTTCTGCAGCAGATCATTTTCCCCGACAAGGAAGAGGTTCTTCACGTATTGGCGAGAAATAGCCATCACAAATCCATTATCCAGGACCAGCACAGTAGGTCAAAAAGTCCGCACAGCAAATTCTCAAACCCAAACATAAACGTGCTGTCTCTAGCTCTAGTTTCCACGCATTCAAAGCCAAAGGTTTCGTTGCTGCTGCAAAATGATTTTTGTCGAATAAAATCTGTGCATGCACATCACTGTCCATCCATCGCCCATCTTCTTCTTGTTGACGCCATTTTCGTTGTGCAAGCATGTAACATTCCGCGGCCGCGGCGGCGTACCCCGACTTCCACAATGAAAATGACGTAAGCTAAGAGAGACGTCATCGATTTGCGCTGCATGCAGAGTTCGAAATCATTTTCAAAGCACGGCCTCTTCAAAACAAACGTCAAACAGAAGAGTGGGCATTTTGTTGTTTCTGTTTAGATGCTGGGAAGTTTCCATTCAGCTCCAGTCAGCTAGGGAGCCCATCCTCTCCTTGAGTTCGAATTGCACCGCGGAGCCTGTGGCCTTGTGTCTTTCAGAACATCTGCTAACCATTACGTTCTGCCGCAGCAGGTTTGATTCAGGCTTGGGGAACGAATAAAGCACAGAGGGAATTCCTTTTGCTATATCGGTCACGCGCCCACCTTGCACCGAGGTAAGAGCTAATGCTTAATTAACTGGCTGGCGTATGCTGGACTGCAGAGTGCAGGCGAAAGGCCTAGGTGGGCTCCGTAGAAAACTGCACCTACAACCGTCTCGGACTACAGTCAACTTCGCTAATACCAAGAGTATAATTATTATACTCTTGCTAATACTAACGACTGCCGATATAACGACAGAATTTCCATGCCCAGAGCAAAGTCCCATCTACCTGTATATTAACTTCAATTCGCGAATAGCGACATGCTTTTAGTGCCCCGAGGTCATATTCACTGCTTGAGTAACGACATTCTGGTTTTTTAGACAGCTATTTCAAGTACAGTTGTGGCATGTGAAATCCGACGCTTGCCATAGGGGACAGCACCACAAATGGACACCAATGATGTAATGCACTGCACCTAATTTGTACTATAGAGCCGCATGCATCCCAAACAGATCGAAAGGTCACAGCGTAGATACGCACAGTTCACAAACATGGTACACATAAGGAGTATTGGTATCTAATCCCCAATCATTTTTGCCAGCACCTTTTGAACCTTGACTGTGATGAGTACGAGTTTTGTCATCAGACAGATAAAGTAAAAACGGTTACCGTATTTCCTCGATTAATAAACCCGGTCTTTTGTTTTTTGAAGAGGGTTGGACCCCCGGTCTCTTATTTGGGCATGGTCCATTATTTGAGCACGGTCCACTATAATTTTCATCGGCACATCGCTGGAAATGGTGGATTTTTAACACGTCATAATATAGAAGTTCTATATTATGACGTGTTAAAAATCTACCATTTCCAGCGATGTGCCAATGAAAATATAGTGGACCGTGCTCAAAAAATGAAAGAAAGCACTAGGCACTAAAAAAATTGTAGTTGCGCAACCTAAAATCGCATCCTTTTTTGATCCACCACGTGCTTTCTTAGTGCGCATGCGCAAAGCGATGAACTCAAATAAGAGACCGGGTCTCTTATTCGGGCATGGTCTACTATTTTTCCGTGAGGCCTCTAGGAGGGTCTACTATTTGAGCATGGTCTATTATTCGAGCATGGTCCATTAATCGAGGAAACACGGTAGTTGTATGTAACACATGTACTGTACTTATACCATGGTACGCCTACTACGGTACGGAGGGCCTGTTTTCAGCCAATCAGCGCTCGTCTAGCCATGGTTATATTGGCCAGTATAAATCCCGCGCGGGATTTATATCGAATATAAATCCCGGTGCACGGTACGTACGCTAGGGCACTGCCACCGTAACGTGTACGGCGGCAGTACTCCAGCGCACGGACCATTCACAACAGACACAATAGACTCCACATGCACGTGTACACTCCACACAGAACGGCATTCCTGACGAGGAGCAGCACACAATGGAAAAGAAGAATGACCTGGAATTCGTCTACAGAGTATTCTATTATGCTGAATCTGAGGATAAAGAACGTCGAATAACCACGAAGTATCGCGAATGGGTCAGCAATGTACATTGTACTTCGAAGAGTTGAAGATCATCAACAGACTGTCTCCTTCGGAACTAAGTTTATGATACAGAGTGTACTTCAAACCGATTGGAAAATGCTAGATTGGGTTGAAATGTGACACAGTGATACAAAACAGTGTATGCAAATGCATCTACTTGCAAGTAAGCAAAACTGATTATAAGATGCCGCATTTGAAAATCAGCGCTGTACCATAATTATAGTAACACTTACTCCCAAAGAGTCCAAACTGTAGTCTAACTAGTGACAGTAGTTTGATTCAACGACAGCTCCTGCACCCCAGCAATTCAGTTGACTTCCGCACCGCTCACGAGAGAAGATCATAAAGATGCTACAATATGCACTGGAACTGAAAGGAAATCTTATGCCAAACACCCAAGGAGGAATCTTCTTCAGATCTTTCTCGACCATTCTTTCAATTGACAACTGATAACCATGAGAAGATGTTCATGTACTGCATGATGTAGGAGATCTCCAAATAGGTTCGTTGTTCTGGAAATGAGTAGGGGTACCTGGCATAAGTAGGATATGACGCTCGTAGTCGGGTTATACCGTACCCTCATATAAATCCCTCCTGCTATCACAGTCGGGATTTATATTCAGCCGATATAACCCGCTGACTCGGGTTATATCCTCTACGTATGCAGGGCTGCACACTGCATGGTGCAGTCCCTTATGCCAAGTGTCGGATTTCACTTGCCACAACTGTACATAATATCATGCAGAAGTACTAGAACCCATGCCATGGCGATGGATAAAGGCACACATGCAAGAAGATGCAGCCGGGGGGGGGGGGCTTATATTCTCATCTTTATTTTGCTTCAGAATAGTTGGAGTGACCAGCACGACTTCAATGAAGTGTGTAGTTGTACATGATTGTACAGTAATCATTATAGCAATAAAAACTGCTTTATGGCAGTTTTCTAAAAAAAGTTATTGTGTTCTAGTCCATGGACCCCGTCTAAAAAGTAAGAAATTAACGAAATGTGATAGCTGAAAATTAAAATTTCACACAAAACCTCACAATAATCACAACACTTGAAATGCTGCTTTGAACACTAAACTTGTACTGCACCAACAATTGGCAACATGCATGCATAGGAAAGAGGATCACGAGGGGAAAAGGTCTTCTGCATGTAGCTTTTCATTCTGTGTGTGATTATTGTGAGGTTTTGTGTGAAATTTTAATTTTCAGCTATCACATTTCGTTAATTTCTTACTTTTTAGACGGGGTCCATGGACTAGAACACAATAACTTTTTTTAGAAAACTGCCATAAAGCAGTTTTTATTGCTATAATTTCTTTTGTTTTTTCTGTCACCAATCAACGGAATGCCCTATTACAATATGTAAATGATGGCCTTCACATCATATCAATACCATTATTATACGCATTGATGTGCAAGCCTTTTCTTGCAGAAAATGGCACTAGCATAATGCATGTTCTTCTGCGGGGAAACATGTGAGCAGTGGTGGTGATACTTTTTTTATACGGAGGTCATTCTGTGCATGTTGCTGTTGCAGAATTTCATGACTGTCATAAAATTGTCTTGCCTTTCAGATATTTCAGATTTCTCCACCCTCAATCAGATTTGATTGAGAAATGTACCCATGCGCCAGGTGCGTGTCGCAGATGTTTTTGTTGATTCTGTGTTTATAATGGTTTATAGTCATGGGTTATCGTGATAAGGTCATCCAGCATCATATAGAAACTGAAATCGTAATCCTGTTGATGTCGATACAACTTTTGGAAGTAGTTCAATGACTTCAAACTGTTAGTCCACGATTGTCTAAAACAACACAGCAAAGGAGGAACAATAAACATGTATTAAAATGTAACCGAATACATTGCTGAGTCTAAAACCTCGTTCCAACAACTACACTGATCCTGAGGAGGAAAGGGGCAAGGCTATGGTTGGAGGTACTGAGAGATAAACAAGGCACTCCACATCTTTTGGTGAGTATGAAAGATATCTAGTCGAACCTCTTTAGGACGAACACCAAGGGACCGATGGTATTTATTCTGTGAGCTTAACCTATTTTATAACCAGAGAATACAATTATATCTCCAATAGACATACGAATAGATTTCTTCTACAGCGAAAGATTCTAAGCCACACCGACTGATTGACTCGTCCCGTATGAAACAATTGAGTCACTAGTGAGATTCTGCAAAATGAAAATGCGTACAAACTTTCGCTCTACATCATGAAGTGCGAAACTTCGCACCTTTGGACGCGAAACTTGCAGGGAACGTTAAATGAACTGTCGTAGGAAATTTCATGAGATCGGGTCATGGCGTACGTGCACTTGGCCCGCGCAAACTACGAAAATGTGCAGAACGCAAAGTTCGTGCAAAAATTCGCGCACACTTTCGCAAGGACTGTCGCGACACTTCGTTCGAATTTTCGTTTTGCAGAACCTCTCTACTGAACGTTTCTTTAGCAACATAACGGCAACGGAACAGCAACAGAGAAAGTACGATACAAGTACTCCACATTCTTACAGGTACTACAACCCGTTTGCAGATCGTAATTCTTGCTTTGGCGGCACGAAACATTATTTTGGGGCAGTGCAATCTCGGCGGTACTCACAAATCAAACAGCCCAGACTTGAGTAAACAAATCCAATCATACAAGTACGAGATTTTCACGAGACGAGACTGCACCCATTGGCTTGTTTCGTATGAAACAAACAAGTTACTGAACCTCTCCACAATAGAGATTTCCCCTGATATGCGAATTTATTTTGCAAACTCGGTCAATTGGTACTTGAACCTTTCCCTCCAGATTGGGAACTGCCAACGATATTATACCACTGACCAGTGCCTTACTTGTAACGTACCAATGTACAATGAATATGAGTATTTCGACAACACATCTAACATAAGCCTTAGGCCGCAACCACACTACGTAAAAATCACAGTACAAATTTTCATGCATATCTCAGTGCAAGTCGGTACGCAACCACACTACACTTTTCGGTCTGCATAGATGACGTTTTCACGCGACCAGCACGTGACGTTGTCGTACCAAAGCGTGTGCCACGCGCTGGAAAAGACCGGGAAATTCAAAAACAATGCTGGTGCTGATGCTATGTACGATGACCCGGTACAAAAGCAAAGTTGTACACAGGAGAAGGAGCGCGAAAACGACGAAAACGACAAACGTGGCTTTCTACAGGGGTGCGCCAGTTGCTGAAAACCTACAAAGCGCATTTTGCATTTCGCCCGCGTCGGCATGACGATTTCTACTGTAATGCCGTTTGTACGTGATTTTGTACCTAGTGTGGTTGCAGCCTTACCGTCAAGAAGTTGAACTCGCGTTCTTCGCACACTGTAGACAAGGGCAAAGAGATAAAAATGGATCTAAATCTGAATACTTGAAAGTAAAATCAGCACGTTTCCGTAAATGAAAGGTGAACATAAGCAAATGAATCGAAGGAAACCGGTCAAGTTAGAGATCACCTGGCATCGAGTATTCCGTAAAAGGAGGCCTCGCAGCTCGGCAGCAGAAAAGCAAAATTTAGCAAAGAGATCCTGTCAACTTTTCCATTATTTATTGCATTCTGCCCCAAAATCAGCACACTTTTCCTGAATGAAAGAGTCAACACAAGCAAATGAATCAAAGGGAATTGGTCAACTCACCTGTCATTGAGTAATATTCCGCGAAAGGAGGTCTCAGCAGCGCCGAAACGAAATAAGCCAGGCCATGAGACGAAATAACCGAAACAGCTCATGCAAGAAGCAGTTCCAAAGAAGGAAGTTCCTCGCGCATGCACATCCGAACACGGATCCGCGGACTGCATGCACTGAACACAATGTCTGCCGTGCACGTGCACAGCACACGGCTACCAAGCGTTGGTAGATCAAATACCGAGCACCTTACGTAGAGACTTACGCAGCCTAAGTGAAATACCGAGCACCTTACGTAGAAACTTACGTAGCATAGCGATGTCGTTTTTTCTGCCATGTGAACACAATAATAGAAAAGCTGACAGGATCGCTTTTCTAAATCATACATGTACATGTCCAATGTACTTGTCCCTGTAGATGGCTTCAAAAGGCTAATTTTTCAATCTATTTCCCTTGCACATTGACTTTATAGTTCCTTTCAATTGTAATACTGAAAATAAAGCACACATTGACATAGAGCGTGAAAAGAGCTTCGTAGTAGAGGGGTTCTGGAAAACGAAAATGCGTACAAACTTTCGCTCTACGTCACGAAGTCAGAAACTTCGCACGAACTTTCGCATCTTTGGACGCGAAACTTGCAGGGAACGCGAAATGAACTTTCGTGGGAAGTTTGGTGAGATCGGGTCATATCAAGAGTACATAACCCCCCAAGAATGTGCAACTCGACTATGGGTGCTGTCCCGACAGAATTTCTAGTTGACGTCATTTTTATGATGCAATGCGCACTGCACACGGATTTTCAGACGAATCCGGAACGTGTGGTGGACCGAAGCCCATCTGATCATGTACAAATTATTGCAAAGAAAAACGTGTGATGCGTTGACACCCGTACACATGTTGTAAATCACTGGTGCAAGGAGCATTGCATCATAAATGATGACGTCAACTTGAAATTCTGTCGGGACAGCAGGGTATGTGGGAGTTGCACACTTTTGGGGGGGGGGGGGGGGTTATGTACTCTTGGTCATAAAGTACGTGCAAACTACGAAAATGTGCAGAACACAAAGTTCATGCGAAGATTCGTACACATTTTCGCAAGGCCCGTCGCGAAACTTCGTTCGAATTTTCGTTTTGCAGAACCTCTCTTTTGATATGCATGTCATACTATACAAAAGACGGGTTCACACACATTCAAATGGGACTTCAGGTATAAGGGCACTTCGCGCGAATGAGGACTCTTTTCTGATGCCCCGCCGAGTGTCGTTATACGCAAAGTTGACTACATTACTCTGCAGTTGTTTCTTGTTTGTTCATGTGTAGCACACTGTGTGTCATGACGTCAAGACTACAATAGAGAGGTTTTGCAGAGCGAACGTTCGCAATGGTTTTCGCGTTCCGATTTGCGAAAGTTATTGCGAATGTTCGCGCGGAATTTGTGTTTTGCATGATCTTCGCTCCAAGAAAGTATGCGTGCACTCGCGCTTGTTTGAGAAGTGGTCTTCATCCGATTATTTGTTTGTTGCGAGTGGCGGCACCCTGACTCACTGCCTGAGACAACAGCTCTTTGACTACGTTGTCCATGGCCGGAGACCCACAGACAAACGGGATGGCTTGTGCCGTAATCCGGCGCATCAACACCTGAAATTCCAAAAAAGGCATCATTGATGTAACGGGCTCTGAGAAGACAAGCATGCAGGAGATCGAAGATGGTTCCGGAGATGAAGCAACACGGGCTGCCACATCTATGGGAAAGCTAGCACTCGCGGACCAAGCCAAGAGTAGAGATGAAGCACCGTAAAATGAGGATTGAGGGTGGCTCACCGGTGCACCACCGGTCCGCGATGAGCGAATATTACTGCGAAGGTTTGTTTCGCGTTCCCTGCAACTTTCGCGTTCAAAGCTGCGAGCGTTCGCACGAAGTTTCGCTTCTCGTGAGATCAAACAAATTTTCGCTTTGGAAAACCTCTCTGATTACGATTGTGTTCCTTCTGTCATGACGTCACTTTCTACGCCACCGTATATTATGTGGTTATTGACAGTTGCCTGGATCATGCTTTGCGCATGTGGGACACGTTATGTTTAACATCGATCAATGTGTAGAACTGCTGTTCCTAAGCCCTTTTCTTTCCAATTTCCAATCCGGTTCATGTAGTACTTCGTGTGTGTGTGTATGCGTGCGTGTGTGTGTGTGTGTGTGTGTGTGTGTGTGTGCGTGCGTGCATGCGTGCGTGTGCGTGTGTTATCCCGTGTAAACTATATTACAGCGATGGACACAGGAACTGCCATGGCGACATCATCGGTGTCCGTCACCACGGCTGAGGACCGCCATGGTAAAGCTGCGGCAACGGACACAGCACCGGCATCAGATTGTGCCGCAATGGCAGCTGCAGCAGTAGCAGCCGATGGTGCCACCTTTAGGGTATGGGTTTTGTTGTCGTTCAGTTTACAGTCAGTTTGCCCAAGAGTACATAACTCCCAAGAGTTTGCAACTCGACTATGGGTGCTGTCCCGACAGAATTTCAAGTTGACGTCATTTTTATGATGCAATGCGCACTGTACACGGATTTTCAGACGAATCCGGATCCTGTGGTTGACCAAAGCCTATCTGATCCTGTTCGAATTATTGCAAAGAAAAATGTGTGATGCGTTGACATCCGTACGGATGTTGTAAATAACTGATGCAAGGAGCATTGCACCATAAATAATGACGTCAACTTGAAATTCTGTCGGGACAGCAGGGTATGTGGGATTTGCACACTCTGGAGGGTTATGCACTCTTGGTTTACCGTAGAACACCTTATTTCCGGTTCAACTTAAACTTCGGTAATTTCGGTTGAGAAACCCAGACACCTAAATTTAGATTACACCGAAACGGCACTGGAGTATGCACTGTATGTGCAGCGAACGCTGGTCACCTAATTCTACATTATGCAGGAAACCTGGCAGGTCCCTGGCACCGAAATGTTACTGCACCTAAAATTACAGGTTTAATATCCAAGACATACTGTATTGAATAAAACTAGCTGAACCGACATTTGTGTACTTTATTCATGCAATGTAAAAAACGGTGGAGACGATGTGCAATAAAACGATGAAAATATGAAGAAATGGTGTAGAGAAAAAATATGGATTCAAACAAGTTTTCGTACAACACTCATCAGGAATCGTTTTTACATTGCATGAATAAAGTACACAAATGTCGGTTCAGCTAGTTTTATTGATTGCGGTTATCAAATTATTGTCTCCTCGCCGTGTGTTCACATGCTGTATTTCCGGAGTTTATTTTCGGCAGTATAAGCCGCATCCACAAATTTTGTCACACGGTACAGTACTGTCGGGTAGCGCCGAAGGACGGCCAGGCCAGAATTTCATCAAGCACAGCATACCAATGTATACACTCAACTGCCCATAGACAGTAGTACATGAAAATAAGAACGGTCTAGGCTAGGGGGCTGACACCCCCCCCCAGTTCTTCGGCGACCGGCAGTACTGTACAGCCACCTACCCTAGTTATCCCTATTAATTTGACCATCGTTGTATAAGCCGCACCGTCTTTTTCCCCGGATGAATTACTGTAAAAGCCATCATTCTAACGAGGCGTATATATAACGATTTCCTAAAATTGACTGGTTTACGTGAACAAAAGGTAACGATTCTCACTCATTCTCAACGCTCAATAGAACAGTACATGTATCGATTTCTGTATAACGATTTCTATTTTATCGACAGATTTCTCCTCGTTAACTCGTATCGTGAGAGTTAGCACTTCCTTATATATTATAGCTTTTACAGTCCTCTTGTTTTAAACTGTGGCTTATGCTCCGGAAAATACGGTGATTCTCGTCCTAACATGGACGTCGACCTCTTTGTCATCTAGGCTCATGCATTCTTTGCTTTCAACTTCACGGTGCCACGGCAACGGGGTTTGTGTGTAGCCGCGGTAACTGCTGGAAGTAAGTGCAGGGATCCGTGGCTTGCGCACGCCCGTTCTGACGCATGCACAGCTCGCGAACAACGACTCTTTTCTCCTACATGATCAAGGGTAGTTATTCGCAAGGTTGGCGCACATGCACACACGTACGCGCGCGCACACACACACACACACACACACACACACACACACATACACACACATACCGTAATTCCGCGCATATAAGCCCACGGGCCTATATCCGGATATAAGCCCACCTCCGTTTATAAGCCCACTAGCAGCACCACCGGCCAGCGTTGCCTGGCCGAACGTGGCATGCAGGTGAAGCAAGTACATGAACAGCACACGTGCTCAGCACGTGGTGGTGGCCAGACCGCTGAAGTCCTGGTGAGGGAGGTTCTTCATCGTTGGAAGGAGAAGGAGGGACGTCTGTTACGCCTTCGGGAGGCTGGTCAGGGTTGTCCATCACCTGGTGGCGGATGAAGCGGCTCAAAAAATTCATAAACTTACGAACAAAAGTGCGATGCGCTCTTCACTGCAGATCAGATGCAGAGTGCAGTCAGTGCAGATCTTTTGTATCCTTTTGTTGCAGATGTTTCTATTTGCAGAGAACGGTTCACGTGGTCCGCAGCGCTTGTGCGGCTGCTAGTGTTACCTATGGCCTAGGCTAGGTGGCTACATGATTCGCACGCTTCGCGTGCTCAGTGCTTCTGCGGCCGCTAGCTACACTGTGCTACACTGTTCGCACGCTTCGCGTGCTCAGGGCAGCGCTGCTCCGCAGCGCTGCTCCGCAGCGCTTCAGCGTGACACAAAAACACACGTCACAGGTGCCACTTCTTTATAAGGAGCGTGTTGTAAACCACCAGTTCTCAATTGGGAAAGGCCTTCGCGCTTATGGCATTGTATTCGTTGAAATGTTGTATTTCGACTCCGCCGTACCGCTGATGTTGCTGCATGGCATACGCTATATGCGTTGTGTGAGTTTTTGCTGTATACGCTGTTATGTCCAGTTTTATCTGCTTATGTTTTGCATGTACGCTGTTTTTGCATGCTATAAATGGCTGGTGTTATTAGTGTTCATTGTTAATTATCAGATGAAGTGAAATATACTGTGTAAAGAAAAAGAGTTGTCCTCGTGCCGTGTGGTCGTACGATCCTGACAATTTAGAGAATCTTGCAGGGTTCACAACATTTGGCGACCACGCCAGGATTGGAGCGAGCATGGCAGAGGAACTATGGAACAATTTGGAAGCCAGCTTTATCGACAATGGAGAGCGGTTAGGATTAGAAGGCGAGTTGTTGAAGGTACATGTGGAGCAGAGGCTCCAACAGTACGCGGAGCGTGAGGAGCGCAGTGCCAGACGGCGAGAGGAGGCGCTCCGCACCGAGTTTGCCAAAACACTAAAGGAGATTAACGAGCGCATCGCCAATGCGCAGGAGGGTGACGGTAAAGCCACGATGGGAGGTACAGAGGAATCTCCCAGTCACAGCGGTGGGCGTCAACCGGTGATGAAAATCCCCTCATATGATGGAACGCAGCCATTGGAGCGTTATCTTGACCTGTTCGAGGACATCTGTTCCAAGAACGAGTTCGAAGAAAGCGAATGGCTGCTGCGACTGCGCATCGCGCTAGCGGGTAGCAAAGCGGAGAGGATATGAATTGGATGCAATAATTACGAGGAAGCAAAACGAGAGTTGCTTGCCTCGCTCGGAAAGACTCCGGATAAAGCGTGGAAGACATTGCTGACAGGCAAGCAGCGGTCAGATGAGTCGTTTCATCAATACGTTGTCCGTGTTTGCCGAGAGGTAGAGGTGTGGGCCACACTCGCTATGACAGAAGATGGCGAGGTGGACACCAAGTATAGCGCCGATATAGGAAAAATGTCCCCGGTGCTGCAAGCAATGGCAAAGCAGGTAATCTTGGAGCAATGCGGACCTGAGATGAAGACGTACCTGGTCGAACGGCAGTGCTACGGGATGTCACTGCGCCAGGTACAGGAGCACGGCGCGTCTTACCAGGTCGCGCACGGACGACAGGGTGATACTGCCAGGAAGCCAGTAGAACGATCCGTGCCAAGGCCCACGGCGTCGGCACAGTGCATGGCGATATCGGTCGCAGATGCAGAGAAGCAGCTAAAGTCGCTGCCACAGGAAGGGAGAAAGGGTTTTCTGCAGCGAGAGAGACTCTGCTGGAACTGCCTTAAGTATGGCCATATGGCCAGAGAATGTCGGTCAGGCTCGAGATGCACGAAATGCCAGAGGAAACACCACCTGCTAATACATGATGTGTTGGATAGAGCAGGTTACAGCCGGGAGAAACCGCCTGAGATAGTTACGGAGAAGAATGTTGGGTCGTGCTGTCTACACTCGCCAAGTGTGCGGCTGATGACCGGAGTGGCACGAGTTGAGGGAAGAACTCGAAACGCGAAGGTTCGCGTGTTCCTGGACTCGGGTGCTGAGGCGTCATTCGTGACTGCAGCGTTGGTGTCAGCAATCGATGCAGAACACGTTGGGGTTGAAAATGTAGAGGTGAAGCCGTTCGGCGCGGAACCAACCCAACAGCGCATGGATAAGTACGCCATCACGATCCAGGGTAGCTCCGCTAGCATTCGGGTACGCGCGTTCGTGAAACCAACGCTTGAGCTGGACCTAAAGTGCGCAAGTCCGCAGACCATTGCGCAGTGGCACAGTTGGGGAGTAGAGCTGAGTGACAAGCCTCAACAAGGGACATCAGACGAAATACATATGCTGATTGGTGCAGACTATATCAACGCGGTACTGCACAGCAAGAAGGATGTTAATGGTGAGACGGTGTGGAACACAGAGATAGGTAATGTATTATCTGGTCCAGCGTCTGCACCAAGTCGAAACAGTCAGCCGGTGACCGTGTCATGTGTCACAGCCCACATCGACAAACTATGGCAGTTGGATGAACCTCCAGAACAACATCAGCACCTGCCATCTTTCCCGCTATGTCGCCAGGGCAGCGGGTACCAAGTGGGTCTCTTGTGGCGAAATGAGCGTCGGCCAACGGATAACTTTGCTCAAGCTAGAGTCATCGCAACGCGGCTTCTTGAAAAGCTGAAGAGGAATGGGAAGCGTGCGCTCTATGATGATGTGCTGATCAGGGAGTACCGCGAGCTTGGAGCAATTGAGCTGGAGCCATGTGAGAGCGATGCCGGGTACTATGTACCGCATCCTGGTGTGTTCCGCGAGCACGCTGCAACCACGAAGTTAAGAGTGGTGTTCAATGCCTCGGCGACGGCGCCAGATGGCAAGTCGTTGAACGACATGGTTGACCCTGGACCGTCACTATTGCCGAGTCGCGCAGGTATGCTATTACGGTTCCGTGAATATAAGAGCGCGCTGCAAGCGGACATCCGCAAGGCTTTCTTCATGGTCGCGGTTAATCCCGAAGACCGTCCGTACCTGCGTTTCTTGTGGCCCGGTCGAAGCGACAGCGATGAACTGTTAACCTGGAGGCTAACGAAACTGCCAGTTGGCGTAAACTGCTCGCCATACATGCTTACTGCGGTGATTCAGCATCACTTGAAGGAGCTACGGGCGTTGTCTGCACCCAAAGAGCGAGATCGTATTGATCTCTTGCTCACGAGTTTCTACGTTGACGATTTGGTCTCTAGTGTCTCAAATGCCTCGGAAGCTAAGGAGATGCAAGAGTTCAGCGTGCGTGTGCTTACGGATGCTGGCATGGAGTTACGCAAGTGGCGAGGCAACGAAATCCCGTGCGATCCAGAGGCCGGAGATAAAGTTCTCGGTCTGAAATGGAAAACCAGTGATGACTTGCTCAGCATAGCAGCGCTAGGCGAGTCCGATAGGCCGTCTGTTTGGACCCGGCGATCCCTCCTCAAGTGTGTTGCGTCAGTGTTTGATCCGCTAGGTCTAGCAGCACCGGCAGTTGTGCCCGGAAAGATACTGCTACAGCAAGCCTGGAAAGTCGGAGGCGACTGGGATGATAAGTTGCCTGATGGCATCGCAGCCGCATGCGCGCAATGGTGGGGAGAGTTGGCCGAAGTGGTGAGCATTGACATACCACGTTGGATTTGCTGCAATCTTGACACGCCGATTGCGCTTCATGCCTTCGCCGATGCCAGTGAGAAAGCGTTTGGATGTTGTTTGTATGCAGTCGTCAATGGACAGTCGCACTTGGTATTTGCCAAGGCCAAAGTGGTACCCGTGTCTCCACCCACGTTAGCCCGCCTTGAGTTACAAGCAGTATGTCTAGCGGCTCGCTACGCTGAGTTTGTGGTGAAGGAGCTGCGTGTGACCGTCACGCAAGTCTATGGCTGGACTGACAGTCTCACTACCGTTCATTGGATCAGTAATCCATCGTACAAATGGAAAACATTTGTGGCTAACCGCGTCAGTCAAGTCCAAGAGATATCGAAGAAGGTCGGCATTGTGTGGAACCATTGCCCAGGCCTTCACAACCCAGCAGATATACCGTCGCGTGGGAGTAGTGCACAGCAGATCCGTAGTCCGTTCTGGAGGGGCGGACCAACCTGGATCACGGAGCCCAATGACTGGCCCACCGCATCCTCAACCGCAGCTACAGATGAGTCCAGTGTAGAAGTACGAGTGTCAGCCACCACCTGTAGTCGAGAATCTGATAAGGAATGGTGTCTCCGATTCAGTAAATGGTCGAGGGCACAGGGCATGGTGACTCGGATGTTGCAGTGGAAGCACACTGAGCCTCGTGCTGAACTCTATTTTGCAGCAGACAACATATTGTACCGCATCGTTCAAGCCGCATGTTTCGCTGAGGATCTTGAGCTGATCAAGCAAGGTCAACCAGTGAAGCCTGGGTCGAAGGTGTATCAGCTTGCACCGTTTCTGGATGAGCATGGAGTGCTCAGAGCCGGGGGACGACTTCAGCACAGCGAGTTGGCGTATGGAGCCAAGCACCCAGTCCTGTTAGGCAAACATCATCTGACCGAGTTGCTGTTGGAAAAAATGCATGTTGAAAGGATGCACCAAGGTGTAGAAGGAGTCTTGTCGTTCATCCGTCAGAAATTCTGGATTATCGGTGGTCGACGGGCGCTACGCAACATTACTCAGCGATGTGTTACATGCCGCCGCTACAAGGCTAAGGCTGCCTCAGAAGTCTGCCCGCCGCTGCCGGAAGACCGAGTTGTTCACGAGAGGCCGTTCGCAACTACCGGCATCGACTATGCTGGTCCGTTGTACGTGCGCCGTGGTGAGTCATCTCCGAAGGTATGGATAGCATTGTTTGTGTGTGCCACCACCAGAGCAGTTCACTTGGAGGTGGTCGATAGTTTAAGTACCGAGTCATTCTTGATGGCATTTCGGAAGTTTGTCGCGAGACGTAGTTTGCCGTCTCGGATCAGGTCTGACAACGCTACAACGTTCAAGGCGGCATCTGACAAACTGGGTGTGCCATGGATATTCAATCCTCCAGCTGCACCATGGCATGGAGGCTTCTATGAGCGAATGGTTGGTACAGTGAAGAGTGCCTTGAAAAAGGTAATGGGAACAGCGTTTCTGAAGGTCCAGGAGCTTGAGACCCTCTTGTATGAGGTTGAAGCAGTGGTGAATAGTCGTCCGCTAACTTATGTGTCTGATAGCCTGGATGAGCCACCAGTAACCCCTGCAATGATGATGGGTGACATCTGGATGTCGTCAGAGAAGCCAGCAGGTACCCTGGACGCTGCGCAGATGTCATCGAGATTGCGTTACCTCAGTCGGACACTGGAGCATGTCAAGAATCGTTGGGAGGTGGAGTACCTAAGTCAGCTGAACAAACACCAACAGACCATGTCGCGCCCTTTAGCTGTGGGTGATGTTGTCTTTGTTCTCGATGATACCAAGCGCAAACAGTTCTGGCGTTTGGGACGGATCATCGAGTTATTCCCTGGTCGAGATGGTAAGCGTCGTGTTGCCAAGGTTAAGTTGAGTACCAGTACCCTGTTGAGGCCGATCCAAAGGTTAGTGCCGTTAGAAGTATCGTCACAGGACGTGGCTCCTGGGCTTGCAGATACCGCTCAACCTGCTATCGTCCCTCAGCAGCCAGCGTATGAACCGTCAGCACCGTTACCACCACCACGGCAGCAGGAGATAACGCGTTCTGGGCGCGTAGTCAGAGCCCCGGATCGTTTTTGACTTGTGTGCATTGTTGTACGGCGGTGAGAAGCCCTTTGGTGGGGAGAATGTTGTAAACCACCAGTTCTCAATTGGGAAAGGCCTTCGCGCTTATGGCATTGTATTCGTTGAAATGTTGTATTTCGACTCCGCCGTACCGCTGATGTTGCTGCATGGCATACGCTATATGCGTTGTGTGAGTTTTTGCTGTATACGCTGTTATGTCCAGTTTTATCTGCTTATGTTTTGCATGTACGCTGTTTTTGCATGCTATAAATGGCTGGTGTTATTAGTGTTCATTGTTAATTATCAGATGAAGTGAAATATACTGTGTAAAGAAAAAGAGTTGTCCTCGTGCCGTGTGGTCGTACGATCCTGACAATTTAGAGAATCTTGCAGGGTTCACAACAGAGCGTGACACACACACACACAGACACACGTCACAGGTGCCTCTTCTTTATAAGTAGAGATGGGCTAATAAACAGACACAAATGCAACTCGCGTGTCAAGTAGAATTTTTCACAAAATGGACTCTTCCTACCATGGTACAGCAGGTCAGTGCAGTTTACCAGTAGAGTATGGTAGACTGACCATGAGCATGGACTTGTACTTTTTCGTAAACCTTCAAAATTCGAATATTGGCCCATGGGCTAGAAAACGAACATGTTTTGCTGGATATTATATCCCCAAACTGCATTATTTCACAGGAACTACGGTACACACACACACACATACACACACACGTACACACGCGCGCGCGCGCGCACACACACACACTTATTCGTTCTCCTGTGTGTTCTTTGTGTGCAGGTTGTCTTCAAGAAACAAACACACAATGTTACCATGGGCACATCGTGCTCGGTCGGCGAGCTCAAGGCTCATGCGGAAGCATTAACAGGTGAGCTTTCCTGGTGGTGTTGCTTGTGTTGCTGCTGCTTGTGCTGGTGATGGTGGTGGTGCTATTGGTAGTGGTGGTGGTGCTATTGGTGGTCATGGTGGTGGTGCTATTGCTGCTGCTGGGTATGCGAGTGGTGGTGGTGCTGCTGCTGCTGCTGCTGTCCGTGGTCCTGCTGCTGGTCATGGTGGTGGTGTTGGTGTTACTGTTATTCGTGGTGCTGGTGCTGTCTCTATCACTGCTGGTACTGCTGGTGCTTGAAGGTGGAAACATGGCGTGACAACCCGGATGTCAGTGTTGGCCATTAGTGTCATATACTGTAG